ACTTTGGGAGGCTGAGGTGGGCAGGTCACCTGAGGTTGGGAGTTCGAGACCAGCCTGGCCAGCATGGCAAAACCCCATCTCTACTAAAAATGCAAAAATTAGCCGGGTGTGGTGGCACCTGCCTGTAATCCCACCTACTTGGGAGGCTGAGGCAGGAGAATCGCTTGAACCCAGGGGACAGAAGTTGCAGTGAGCTGAGATTGGGCCACTGCACTCCAGCCTCAGTGACACAGCGAGACTCCATCTTGAAAAAACAAATAAATAAAATTAAATACATCTTGCTTCCAGAGATGAAAGCCATATGCTCAAGGTGGCAAAGCAGGGGAGCAGAAAGAACCTGGGTGCTCATTGGCATTGCTGGTACTGTGGTGCCAGCCCTGACTGCCTAACCCTGGATCTTCTGTTAGGGAGGAAAACCCTGTAGCTCTCAAACCTGAGTGGGCATGTGAATCACCCGGGGGTCTCATAAAAACACAGACTTGTGGGCCCTTCCTGAGAGTGTCCGATTCCAAAGGTCTGGGGTGGAATCCTGAGCCCTGTATTCCTAACAGACTTCCAGAGGATGCTGCCCCCGCTGGCTCGAGACCTCTCTTTGAGAACCACTTGCAAAACTGAACAGATACTTGCTGAAGCGACTGTTACGTGGGTTTTCATACACGAACAGCGGAATTCTGTCCCAAATGATACACTGCCCTTCAAACCCCCAAGAGCTATATACCCCCAGAAAGGGGCTGAAAACTCATTTAACCACAAGGCATAAACACCCAATGAGGCTTACAATGTATCTGGATTCTGACCAGAAAGGAAATATTAAGTCAAAGACAAGAATTTCTGCTTTTAACTTAGAGGCATCGTGGGAGCCGAATGGAAAAGACACGCAGAGCAGGAGCGCTTACCCGGAACTTCTGACATCATTCCAGAGACCGTCAGCAACTAACAAGGGGACTTCTGGCTCTCTTTCCCTCTTCTTAACAATGGAACCTGGGGCAAATTCTTTAACGCCTCTGAACCTCAGTTTTCTCATTTGTAAAACTGGATGATCATACTTATCACATGAGCTTGCTATGAGGCATAAGGGATGTCAGGGAGAGAGGCAACCTGAGCATCCATCACTGCGAGAGGAAAATGTGTGGGTGAATGTCACAGTAGAGTTGAGCCGCAAAAGTGTAGTGCACAAATAGCAACATGGATGGAAGCTAAAAACACGATGCTTATTGAAAAAAGAGAGTCATTGGCCAGGTGCAGTGGCTCACACCTGAAATCCCAGCACTCTGGGAGGCTAAGGCAGGCAGATCATGAGGTCAGGAGATGGAGACCATCCTGGCTAACAAGGTGAAACCCCATCCCTACTAAAAATACAAAAAATTAGCTGGGCATGGTGGCACATGCCTATAGTCCCAGCTACTCGGGAGGCTGAGGCAAGAGAATCGCTTTAACCCAGGAGGCGGAGGTTGTGGTGAGCCGAGAATACACCATTGCACCCCAGCCTGAGCAACAAGAGCGAAACTCTTATCTCAAGAAAAAAGAAGAAAAAGAAAAAAGATATAGAGTCAATCATTTTATATAAGAATTAAAAAATGAATGTATACCAAAAAATATACAGTATGCACAATATTCACAAAATGTATAAAAAATACATTAGAATGGTTACCTACGAGGCAAAGGGAATGAAAGCAGGTATGGATATATAACATTTTTTGAAAAAAAAAAAAAAAAAAAAAAAAAAAAGAATGCGTGTCCATCAGACTGACAAAAATCAAAGTGCCTGACAATATCAAATTTAAACAAAGACATGGAGACGGGGCCGCCGTATTCTGTTAACAGGAGAGTAATTTGGTACAAGCCTGTGGTACAGACCACCAATTGTTCCCACTGCCCAGTTTCCCTTCTTCTAGACAGTGAAGCCCTGATTGTTTAACTGGCACGTGGCTCCTCGATAGACGCGCCACTGTGGACTGGAATAACTCAACTCGTAGCCTTCTTTGAAGCTAGGGGTGAGCATGCGTATAAGCTGCAGCCAATGGTCTGTGATGAGAAGTGTCATTTGAAGTTTCCAGGAAGCATCCTTAAATGGAGAGATCTCAGCAAATGGCTGGAGACAAAGGTGGACGTCCAAGAGAGCTGGAAATGACCCACAATGTCTAAGATCTCCCCTTAGGCTGAGCCATCCCAAAACAGGGCAGCAAGTGACCCGAAATGCTTACGCTTTCCTTGAAGAAAGACAGATGACGGCCCTGGAATACAGGAAATGCTCACACAGCGTATAACCTGGCGTTAGAATCCATACAGCCTAAGAGGAGAAGCTGTTCCAAGCAGGCAGCCGTGAACAAATTTAAAGTGGAGAGATCTGAAGCTTAAGCATGGTGGTAAAAGAAATTGTTATAATTACGTCCTAAACCTCTGCTTCAGCCTGGAGCGATGTTAACAAAAACAGTGCTCTCTGTTTATGCCCTGCTCCACGTATACATTAACAAATAGCTCAGAATTTGTTTTTGCTTATTAAGTGATCCGTTAAAGAAAAAAATTACAGGCTGGGCGCGGTGGCTCACACCTGTACTCCCAGCACTTTGGAAGGCCAAGGCAGGTGGATCACCTGAGGTCAGGAGTTCGAGACGAGCCTGGCCAACATGGTGAACCCTCATCTCTGCTAAAAATACAAAAGTTTGCTGGGTATGATAGTGGGTGCCTGTAATCCCAGCTACTTGGGAGGCTGAGGCAGGAGAATCACTTGACCCTAGGAGGTGGAGGTTGCAGTGAGCCGAGATCACACCACTCCAGCCTGGGTGACAAGAGCAAAACTTCTTCTCAAAAAAAAAAAAAAAAAAAAAAAAAAGAAAGAAAGAAAAGAAAAGAGGCCGGGCGCGGTGGCTCAAGCCTGTGATCCCAGCACTTTGGGAGGCCGAGGCGGGTGGATCACGAGGTCAAGAGATCGAGACCATCCTGGTCAATATGGTGAAACCCCGTCTCTACTAAAAATCCAAAAAATTAGCTGGGCACGGTGGCGCGTGCCTGTAATCCCAGCTACTTGGGAGGCTGAGGCAGGAGAATTGCCTGAACCCAGGAGGCGGAGGTTGCGGTGAGCTGAGATTGCGCCGTTGCACTCCAGCCTGGGTAACAAGAGTGAAACTCCATCTCAAAAAAAAAAAAAGAAAAGAAAAAGATTACGAATTAAATTGGTTAATATTTCTCTTTCCTAAAAAAGAAGATATTATGGTTCTTAGTCAGCTGACTTGCTTCAAAAACAGTTTGTCTACACTGAAAACCAGAGCCCCACATCTGTTCCTAATAAAAATCTATAATCAGCAATGCCCATTGCCTTCAAAACTTATTTTCTTCATTCCTAAACTATGCACAGACCTGGCCAAAGCTTGTTTCTGTTGTCACCAAGATATAATGGCACTGCATTTATTCCAGGATAAATAAATCAGCAGCAATTCCGAGTAGAATCTGTGTCAGCCACTGAGGCTATTGAAAAGCTGAGCCTTAACTACAGATTGGTGTTTCCAGGTATTAAAACGCTGAAGTAGACCGGTTTTCTGTTTTTCAGTTTGTAACACTCAAACCTTTGTGATACTTTGTTTCAGGTCACATGGCTAAAAGACATTTGATAATAAAAACAGCTCACATTTTCAGTAAAAAGAGATTCTGGAAGCGGCAACCTTAAGATACCCATCCTTTCCACAAGAAACACTTATTTCTAAAAGTTGTGGTCTTTGAATTGAGCCTGGCAGCAGCAGACCAGGCCACTACCTAGCAAAGCGCTTTAACTGGAACTAGCCTGCAGCCTGCAGGTTCCTGAAGAAGGGCTTTAGGCACGGTCTGCAGTCTCACTGACAGGCTGTCTCGCTGCTATGTGAGAACCAGCCAGAGCTGTTTAAAACAGCCTTTATGAAAGCACAGCATATAATTCTGGGTGAAAGTTCAGGGCCACTTTTCCTGGCAGTGACAAACCCTGCATATTTTTCTTTTTCTTCCTCTGAGAACAGTTGATCCTTAATGTTTTTTCAGCTTTAAGCCATTTTCAAAGAGAAGCACACGTTGGCAGCTTCAGCAAACTTGTTTGTCCTAAAGCTATGGCAAAGCAGGATAACGGTGCAAAGTGATGTGCAAAGGACCGGACAGCTCAGCGTGCACGGGACACAGTGATGCAGCTTGCAGGGAGGAGCCGCCTCAAGACCTCTTACCCTTAGGAACAGCTATGTGGGCTGGGCAGGTGGATCACCTGAAGTCAGGAGTTCGAGACCAGCCTGGCTAACCTGATGAAACGTGGTCTCCACTAAAAATACAAGAATTAGCTGGATGTGGTGGTGGGTGTCTGTAACCCCAGCTACTTGGGAGGCTGAGGTTGGAGAATCACTTGAGCCGGGAGGTGGAGGTTGCAGTGAGCCGAGATCACTCCATTGCACTCTAACCTGAGCAACAGAGCGAGACTCCATCTCAACAACAACAACAACAAAAAAAAAAAAAAAAAAAAAAAAAAGAGAGAGAAAGAAAGAACAGAAAGGAAAGAAAGAAACAGCTTTGTATAGCTCACTGCCCAGGAATTAGAACCAGGAACTACTGTCTTTTATGATTCTAACACTGGTCACTTCCCACAATGGCCTCTCCTCCTTCTATTGCTTACATAATAGACATCTTCAAGCTACGACCAAATCATTGAAGGATACTGAAACAACATATTCCCTTTTGAAAGCAGTGCACTGTTTTGTTAACATTCATATTTTTCCAATCCAAGAGTGTCCCAAATGGAGGGTTTATGGGCATGTGGGGAGGGGACTAAAATGTACAGAAGGAATATGGAAAGGTCATAATTTGGGATCTTAAGAGTAAAGCATGGCAGGGCGCAGTGGCTCAGGCCTGTAATCCCAGCACTTTGGGAGCCCGAGGTGAGCATATTACCTGAGGTCAGGAGTTGGAGACCAGCCTGGCCAACATATAGTGAAACCCCATCTCTACTAAAAAAATAAATAAATAAATCAGCTGGGCATGGTGGTACTCACCTGTAGTTGCAGCTACTTGGGAAGCTAAGGCAGGAGAATCTCTTGAACCAGGAAGGCGGAGGTTGAAGTGAGCCGAGATTGCACCACTGCACTCCAGCCTGGGCAACAGTGTGAGACTACATCGCAAAAAAAAAAAAAAAAAAAAAAAAAAAAAGAGTAAGGTGGGAAGATGACTTTAGGATGTTTTTTTCTAACAGAAAACTCTTAATTTGTGATATACAAGAGAAATACTCATTTTTCCAAGAGGAAAATGACCTTAAATCCAGCAGGAGTGTGCTGGTTTATGCTCCATCAGTGAGCTTATGTATAAAGAAAGAAAGAAGTGGGTTTACGCACAGTAATCTACACTTTCCTAGAAAACTCGGAGAGAATCGGTGTTGTATTCCCAGAAGGCAATTCTTACTCTCCTGTGGAATAAATAAGAGGCGAATAAGAATTGCCTCCTGATAAATGAAGCGTGAACTTACGAGCCAGAAACTCAGAATGGACTAGCATACTAAGGGATCCCCTAAATAGAATAAGAATGAATTGCAAGGCGTCCTATAAGGTGCCAGAGACTAGGAACTTCTGGCACAGGGGTGACAACTCCAGAAGCATCTGTGTTGGGTGCAGGAGTCAAAGGGTGGAAAGAGAAGGGTTGGAGGCGGAGCAGGAAGAGAATGTAAGTTCTCTACTCTCCCAGCAGCTGAGGGTTTGCCTGTGCACTGTGGAACTGGAAGGTGCAAGCCCAGACCCAAAAGCTGTTGTGGTCCGCTAGACTTGTGAGTCCAAGGCCAGGCGTGGTGGCTCACGCCTGTAATCCCAGCACTTTGAGAGGCCGAGGCAGGTGGATCATGGGGTCAGGAGGCGAGCCTAGCCTGGCCAATATGGTGAAACACCATCTCTACTAAAATACAAAAATTAGTTGGGTGCAATGGCGCCCACCTGTAGTCTCAGCTACTCAGGAGGCTGAGGCAGGAGAATCACTTGAACCCAGGAGGCAGAGGTTGCAGTGAGCTGAGATCCTGCCACTGCACTCCAGTCTGGCGACAGAGTGAGACTCGATCTCAAAAAAAAAAAAAAAAAAAAAAGCGGCTGGGCGTGGTGGCTCATGCCTGGTAATCCCAGCAATTTGGGAAGCCAAGGCGAATATATCACCTGAGATCAGAAGTTCGAGACTAGCCTAACACAGTGAAACCCCCGACTCTACTAAAAATACAAAAAATTAGCTGGGCGTGGTGGTGGGCGCCTGTAATCCACACGATGTGGGAGGCTGAGGCAGGAGAATCACTTGAAACCGGGAGGCAGAGTTTGAGGTGAACCGAGATTGCACCATTGCACACCAGCCTGGGCAACTAGAGCGAGACTCCGTCCCCCGCCCCCGCAAAAAAGACTTGGTGGGTCTAAGTGAAAGGAGAAAAGTTCCCTTGTCTACCTCTGAGGGCATGTAACGGGGCGATGGCTCCCTTCCTGAGCGCCCCGCTGCTCGAAACCCCTAGGGAGAGCAGGCAGACGGGCAGGTCGTGCGTGGGGAGCGTGGGCGCCGCCCCCATGGCGGTGTCTAGGGGCGAACGTCCGCAGCCCCTGAGCCCCAGTGCGCAGGAGTTGCAGGGCGCTCTTTTGGTTTTGCGGTCTGCAGGCGGCGTGTGTAAGTCAGCTCAATACACCCTCTGCTTACAGCAAGGACAGAGGCTTCCGTATCCTGGGGTTCCTGCCTTGGTGCACGGGAAAATGGGATCACACGTGAGCTTGGAGAAGGAGTGCAAGGTTGTGTTGAGTGGTGGAAGTAGCTCTCCGCAGAGGCAGAGCTACTGGGGAGCCAGGAGGGGTGTGGAGCGGGAACGTGGTTTTGCCCTGGCGTCGGACGGCTTCCGGGTTCTCCTCTGACCGCCGCGGGCTGAACTTTGTGTCCCTCCGCCCTAGATGGCCTGCAGGCGTCTGCCGGCATCTTCCTCTTAATGTCCAGCTGCTTGTGTTTGTGCCCCCTTCGGTTTCGGGGTTTTTATAGGCACAGGATGGAGGGTGTGGCCGGCCAGGGTGGTGTCGGAAAATGCAACATTTAGGCGGGAAAACAGAAATGCCTGTTCTCACCTAGGTCCGTGGGCACAGGCAGAAGGGTGAAGCCCTAGCCAGGGACCCCGCCTCTCTAGCTAGCATTTCCCTGCCCCCGCCCTCCCGTATCATTAGCAGAAACAGCTGGCTGCTTTCCTCCCCTCGCACCTCTAGAGCCCATGGAGACGCTCTGGTGCTGGGCAGGGACTCCCAGTGGTTCAGGGGCTAGGCATGGTGGGGAAGTTTCTCGAGGGGCACCGACAACTGCTTTAGCAAGTTTGGCATGGAAGAACATGAACAGAAATCCACTGGGGAGGATGCTTAGAGGTCCTGCAATTATGCCGGGTAGAATAATGCCAGGGGCTGAGAGTCGTTATGATTTATATTTCATGAAATATGACTTTATCTGTACCCAAAGGAAGGTGTGGTTTGAAATACTCAGTTGATGCATACAAAGAACCACGGAACACAGACTGCATCTCCAGCTAGGGCAGCGGCCAGTAATAAGAGAATCCAGAAGACTTTAGCTTCTCAGGAGCGCAAGCAGAGTCTGGGCAGCACCTCTGATTTCTGCAGGGTGCTGTGAGAACCCTGTGGCCTTGGAAAAGCATGAGCTGGGTGTGGCCAGCCAGAGTGGCTGAGGACAGTCAAGAATGGCCATAGGCCGGGCACAGTGGCTCATGACTATAATCCCAGCACTTTGGGAGGCCAAGGCGGGCAGATCACTCAAGGTCAAAAGTTTGAGACCAGACCGGGCAACATTGTGAAAACCTGTCTCTACTAAAAATATAAAAATTAGCTGGGCATGGTGGTGGCATCTGTAGTTCCAGCTACTTAGGAGGCTGAGGCAGGAGAATTGCTTGAACCTGGGAGGTAGAGGTGGCAATGAGCTGAGATTGTGCTACTGCATTCCAGCCTGGGCAACAGAGCAAGATTCCATCTCGGGGGTGGGGGTGGGTGCAGGGGGGAAAGAATGGCCATAAATTGTCCTCACTTTATTCTTTGTTCACGAATAGGTCGTTCAACCCATGCTCATTGAGAACCTAATATGTGCCGGCCACACACAATTCTAAGTGCCGCAGATACAGGAATGAGCAAATAGCACGTCAGTCCCTCCCCTTATGGTGCTTGCATTTTTAAAAGGCAATAGATAGGCTGGGTGAGGTGCTCATGCCTGTAATCCCAGCAGTTGGGAGGCAGGTGGATCACCTGAGGGCAGGAGTTCGAGACCAGCCTGGCCAACACGGTGAAACCTCGACTCTACTAAAAATACAAATATTAGCCAGGTGTGGTGGCGGGTGCCTGTAATCCCAGCTACTCTGGAGGCTGAGGCAGGAGAACTGCTTGAACCTGGGAGGCAGAGGTTTTAGTGAGCTGAGATGGTGCCACTGCATTCCAGTCTGGGTGACAGAGTGAGACTCTGTCTCAAAAAACCCAACAGATAATGAGATACTCTTTCAAACTACATAGGGTTAAAGAAAAACTTTTAGACAGAGTTTGTTTCTCAAATAAATGTAAGAGTTTATTTGAGCAAAGTATTCCTAAATTGGGCCGCCCTCAGAGCCTGAAATTCAGACAGCTCTGCCCAGCAGCAAGAGCTGAACTCAGAGGCGAAGTAGAGAAATCACCTGGTTGGCTACAGGGGGGTGTTTGCCTTATTTAGGAACCACGTGATGAATTGGCTGCTTGTGATTGGCTGAAACTTGACTATTTGTTACAGAATATATATATATATACTATTCACTCGTTTCAGTTTGTTTACACACTAAGTTAGGCCGGGACTTTGAGGGGGATTTGTTACATAGGCACACAAAGTACGGCGATAGCCTCGGTGGAATGGCCTATTTATTTTGCTTAAACGATAGTACATTATACAGTTATGAGTGCTAAGAATAAATCTACAGCACAGAAGGAGGATGGGAAGAGAGGGGAGGATGGGAGTTATTTATATGTATCATTTCAGATGGGGCGGTCAGGGAAGGTGTCACTTGCGGGGGTGGCATTTGACTGAAGACTAGAAGAGGCCACAGAAAGAGCTCTGCAGAGATGTGCAGAACAGCATTTCAGGCAGAGGGCAGAGCACGTGCCAAGACCGGAGGCAGGGCCATGCTTGCCACGCTGGAGGGACTGTGACAAGGCCACTGAGGCTGGAATGGGATCAGAAAGAGGGAGGAGGCATGGGGCCTGAGAGGTGACGAAAGAACCCATTATGCAGAGACAGCAGCAATTTAATCATCGGTTTTTTACTAAGATGGAAAGGATGAGAAGGTGTCAAGCAGAGAAATAAAATGATCTCATCTGAGGAGCCTTCCTTCTTGGAAGGGAGAACTTTTGGGAAGAAGTCACGATGTGGCAAGATCCTTTGGATTTGGGAACTTGAATTATTATTATTTTTTTTGAGGCAGAGTCTCGCTCTGTCACCAGGTTGGAGTGCAATGGCGCAATCTCAGCTCACTGCAACCTCCGCCTCCCTGGTTCAAGCGATTCTCCTGCTTCAGCCTCCTGAGTAGCTGGCACTACAGGCACGCACCACCACGCCCGGCTAATTTTTGTATCGAGACGGGGTTTCACTATGTTGGCCAGGATGGTCTCGATCTCTTGACCTCGTGATCCACCCGTCTCGGCCTCCCAAAGTGCTGGGATTGCAGGCGTGAGCCACCGCGCCCAGCTGGGGAACTTGAATTTTTACAGCATCTGGATACTTCTCCTACCTTCTCCCTCAGTAGGAAGCCACCTGCAATGAAAGTTCCCGAAGACGGAACAGGTTTCCAAGGGGGCTACAGCTGGGTGTTTGCAGACCAGCTCTACAGGGAGTCCTGAATGCTGAGAGGAATCGTGTTGACCAAGTCAACCAAAACGTGAGGAGAGGCCAGGGAAACGAAGTCAGCGAGCTGCTCTGGGATGCTGCCTAAAGATCGCCCTTCAAACCAGACACGAAAAGCACAGAGGGCACCACTAAGAGGATACAGATGATCACTCTTGCTAAGTATTGGAACAAATGGCTAGAGGCCCACAGCGGGCATCAGAGGAGACTTTGATGAGAAGGAACAAGAGGGCCCCTGAATAAGTGCAGTCCTGGCCGAGA